AAATATTCTATTATTGTTCACTGCTCATCTGATCATACATACACACACAAAAATCCCACTTACAGTCGTCAAGAAATTAATGTCATGTTTTTTTTTTTTTTAGATAAAAAAACCCGAACAACTTGTATATCAAAACAAAACATTTATTAAATGAAATAGTCTCCATTCTTATCGATGATGCTTTTCCAATGCCCTGATTAGAGAAATCACTTGGCGTTGAAACAAAAAACATGTCGATGTCCTCTTTAACACCTTCCACATTTGCATACGTTCTCCCATTAAGATGGTGTTGCAGCGAACGAAAAAAGATGGTAATCTGATGGTGACATATCTGGAGAATATGGTGGTTTTAGACTATTCGAAATTTTAATAGGTAACATTATGTCAGATAGCAGGCAGGTTGTCAGCAGCAGGTGTCGCCACGAGGATTGACTAAGTCTCATTGTGCACACACAATTGAAAGAGCAGAGTGTGTCAGTGGCATTGCAGCGCAAACCTTGAGACTTCTTATACGCAGCTCAACATGTTTACAACAGGGCCCTAACGGAATTAAAACTCGGCGTCATGGTTAGTAGTCTAAGCCTATATGATCACACAAGCACAATTATTGATTAGTAACTAACTCTTTCTCGCTTTTCTTTTATTTTTTGCATCTATATAAATATAATGTTAGTGTCTGTTGTATGTCCATGTAACTACTTCGCAGGGTGTGGATGGATCTTCACCAAATTTGGTATGGAGGTTCATTAGGTCCATGCGGGGATACATAAACATGTTCAGTTTTGCATTTTGCGGTTTTTATGGGCGTTTATGCGTTTTTTACCACTACTTCGACCCCTTTGATGGATCTTTACCAAATCTGGCATGAAAGTTTGTTGGGTCCATGCGAGATATATACAAATTTGCGGTTTCACATTTTGGGCTTTGCAGTTTTTATGGGCGTTTTTTTACAATCACATATATGGGAAGCAACTTTATGCCCTAAGGTAACCTTTTATTAATCATGAATTTACATAACTTCCGTCCAGGGGACGGGTACTCAAGCTAGTTTTTAATAACTAAATAATAGTTACTAACTAGTTTTATCCTACGTTTCGGTTTGATAAATAATTTGCCACCGTTTTCATGAATAACACAATAGACTTTCACCAAGACGACTCAGAATCGAATCCCGGCCAGTACGAACACAGAAATGGTTCTCTCAGGATTTCCCCGAAGAAGGCTGCAGACTAGCAGCCAAAAAGTATGATAAGAAATTAGCAACTAGCTATTTAAAAAAGTTACTCATCAAACAAAGAGGTCACATAGTCGGTCAAATCGACCGAGCCAGTGTTGAGACTTAGGTGATCGTATACATTAATAACCATGACAACGATTAACATCCGATGGCCACAACTTTACCGCAAGCAAGTGTATTTCGATGCGACTTCAGAATCATATAAAATTTATCCTTTATATATTGTATCAAGAGGTGCACACAACTGACATGAAAAGCAGCTGTGTTGTATATGATTTAACCTGTTAAACTTAGAAAACCATCAGAATGCTAAACTGTTTTTATTCTCTCTCTTTTTACTGCATTTTAGCACCACCTCATGCTAAGCTATGTGTAACTAAAATGAAACCGAGATTTCTCGGTCTCTTCATATTCTTTTTTTTTCAACCGCGGCATAGCGGCTTATAGAATGGCTCCGAGCTGCCCCCCACAAACTTTTAGCTCATAGCTCCATCTCTTGACCGATTCGAGATCTAATTACAGCCGCAGCTATTGAGGATTCACTATTATTTTCCAGTAGAAGAAATAAAAGATATAAAATAAAAACTACGAAAGCCAATACAGTCAGAGGTCCTAGCTTACATTCATTTTCTATCTATCTTTCCTTCCACGGTGATTATCAAATGTACGTCATCACCACATCGCTGCATTCGATTACACAAATTTACCTTTTTAGCTAATCAACAGAAACTTTAAAACGTATCACTTTTATATTCGGTTCAAGATCTAAAACTATATTTTGTTTATAGCCAAGCACAAAGCTACATAATGGGCTATCTGTACTGTGGCCATCACCAGTATCGAAACCTGGTTTTTAGCGTTATGAGCCTTCAAACGTACCGCTAAGCCACTGGGGTGGGGCAACTAAAACTTTAAAACATACATTTGCAAGAGCTTTGAATTTTACTTTACAGGTGTCAGTGTTTGCTTTTTGTTTGTTTGTATTTAAGCACAAAAATACACAATGGGCTATCTGCGCTATGCCTACCAGGTTTTTAGCGTTGTAAGCCTTCAGAATGAATTGAGTTATAGATATATAGTAACTTAGATCTGTATGATAAATAATACAGTTTAAAATGCAGTTTTTTTATAACATGTAACTACAGCTGAAGTCATGTCCCAGTATTCAGTTCAAACAATAAAAAATTGTTGAAGGAACCACTAACGCCCTCTTCGCCATTTTGCAAAGTTCAGAAAATTAAGATAATTTGTATTACATTTCGTCTCCTTAATCAAGAGCACTTGTATACATTTTTTTCAGAAAGTTTTCGCATTTTGCTAAAAGTCTGAGATCAAACTGTTGTCCCTAAAGTAATTCGCGAGATTTTACGAAATGTTCAGCAGCGTTCTTTTGTGCGACGTTTGTAATGCCATTAACATGTTTTCAAAGTTCTTCACATCAGGTGTGAGCCGCATGTGAACATTTTGTACAATCTCTTTGATCACCTACAGGCCAAACTTTTAGAATCAAAATGTTAACAATATGTAAAAATTTTCTATAAAGAAGATACAAAAAAGTGCCTTTGATTAAGGAGAAAATCCCTTCTATAAACTGTAATAAAGGTTGGCCGAATAAACAAAAATGACGTACAGGTCATTAAAAGGTTTTCCTGCGATGTATATTTCTTTTTTAAATACAAAAACAACTTTAAAAGTTTACAACACCTACTTATTCATGTACAAAGTTGCATCTATTATTTAATTAATTTGTATTGTTTTTAAATATTTTATCTAAACCTGGGACAAAAGTATTAACTTGAAAAATTACGTACATTTATGTTTTATAAAACCAATTGCATTTAGAAGTTTATTATTTAGAAATATATATCGAAATTCATTATATATGTATATTTCAATTTACTTCTTCTGGAATGTGAATTGGCGTGGCCTAGTAGTAAATGTGCCAGGCTGCGGTTCCAAAGGACCAAGGTGCATGTCGCGATGCCTCCACAAGAGTGACAGCCAATCCTGTTATGTGGTTCAAAGTCCTTATAGCGGCTATTGCTGCTCGCTGACTGCTTTCCCTTTGGTCAGAAATTCAAAATTATGGATAGCTATAGTTGAAATCTAGGGGTCTCTGATGTAGCTCTTTAGTCCATGGGGCATATAAAGGTAGAAAACATCAATACCTGGAATGTGTACTTTCCCTCTAAGCAATTGCTAACCCATCAAAAGGTGAATGAGCTCCATGGAGCCAACGGCCATCCATACCTGGAAAGGATGTGGACACCACCAGATTCTATGCCTGAAGAAACACCTATTATAAGATATCTGAGAATGTCGGAGAACTGGGAAATCTGGGGAGTTATGGCAATTGAATCAAAGTTGCTCCAATGATCGAAGTTACTAAATCATGCTGCGTAATGTCATTTTGATGCATTGCTGTATTTCACTATTTTCTGTAACGACCCGTTTGAATCATAGATTAAACGTTCAGCTCCTGAGAAAGGCGCCAACGTTGGCTATTTGATTATTATTATTTTACATCTGGAGTTCGGGATCGTAATATTTAAGGTCATTTTTAATCTCCAGGCTGCATTCACAAATCTTAATTCAAATAATAGCTATTTTCCTTTCTTCTCTCCGAATTAGTGCCAAATGGGACAGAAACTTGGTACATACATTTTTATTTTGTTCAAAAATGTTTAGAAATAAATAAATGTATTGCGGTAACTGCGAGGGCGCAAGTAAAGAAAGTTTATGCGCCCCAATTGTACCATAAAAAAATATGTATACAAACTATGTATAGCGATGCACGAAACATCAAACGCTCTCTCTTACTGCTTAAAGCCTATCCACAAAACAACCCAACAGTAAATGTATATTTATTTTCGAGAAAAATTAATGCTTAGTAACCCAGTTATTATAAAAGATAGGTCTACCCATTGATATCCAGTTGTTGAGATAATTAGTAATTTAGTATCCAATGTGTGTAAACGAGTGACCAAGGAACAACTATAATATAGTTCACCTGTGTTCTGGCGCCAATGCTGTTCATCACTGCACTGCGGGCTAAAGCTCCGGATGATGGGATACAAAGGAAGAATCCACCAAGAATATTTCCACCTCCTATAGCCAGCAACTCCTAGCGAGAAGTGAAAACAGTTAAACACATCTTGAGGAATCTACCAGGACAAGGTAGATTTTAGTCATTTGGTATGTTCATGTCGTTGTGATATTATTTATAAATCACTGTCGAATCAGAGAACTATAACAAGACATATTTTTGCCCCTTAAGATGTTCTAGTTGTTGGGATATTAATTGTAAATCACCGTTAAGTCAAAATAATAGGGTAATACATATTTTAGTCACTTATGATGTTCGTGTTGTGATATTAGTTAGGAATCATTGTCCAATCAGATAACTAGGACAATACATATTTTAGTCCCTTAGGATGTTCGTGTTGTGATATTAGTTAGGAATCGTTGTCCAATCAGAAATGTATTGTCCTAGTTGATTCCTAACTAATATCACAACACGAACATCCTAAGGGACTAAAATGTTGTCCAATCAGAGAACTAGGATAATACATATTTTAGTCCCTTAGGATGTTCGTGTTGCGATATTAATTATAAATCACTGTTAAGTCAGATCACTAGGACAAGATATATTTTAGAAATTTATGGTGTTTGAGTTATGATATTAATTAGAAGTCACCGTCAAATCAGTTCGTGAGGGTTTATTAATATTATTATTAAAGTCTAAGAAACCACGGTAGCGTGATGCATGTTGTAGATATAAATAAAAATGTCTTACAAAGAGTTAATAAAACCTAGCTGTGAAAGAACTAACGCTTTTCAATATCATCACGTACAGTTTGACATCAGATTTTTCAGTTTAAGTGGATTTTCACAGGTTCATGGAATCGGTATATCACCAAAAAGAACAACTTGAAATCAATATTCTCTGTATACTTTATTTAAAATAGTGGTGTCATCTATTTTAGCGACAACATTGATTAAAATAGGTTTCTGGAAATACGTTTATTTTGATTTGACGAACATGGCTGATCTAATTTTCCAACAAACCTGATTTGCATCTATTTTGTAATTATGGCGCTTCGCATACATGGCAGCAAGGGACAAAGATGATGCAAATCCAACAAGAGCAACAGCAACGCTATCTCCCGCCACTTCCGGTAGGAGGTGCACAGGAGGAAGAGATGGAGGAGGAAGTCTGGAAACAAAATAAATTTGATTGTAAACAATTTATATACAACAAACACATACAAAAACTACCCTTAACTAGTGCTAAGCCTAACCAACAACATAAAATATCATTAGTAAAATTATTCATTTTCTTGCATAGGAAACAAAGTGAAAAAAAAAAAAAAATAACAGGCAAAAAGTCGGACCGAGAACTGTTTGCTGAGAATATGTTCGTCGAAATTCGAAACATTTAGTATTTTAAAAAACGACAACTTTCTGATCCCTTCTGTCATCATGTTCGTTGAAAATGTCATCAAGTGTGTCTCCGAGAAGTGAAGCAACAAATACGTTTGGCAGAGAGAAAATATGTCATTTTAATGAAGAATAATAACAAAATGTTCAGGTACGTGTTTATACAGTTCAGTATGAATTAAATTCTACATTTGAATGATCAATATAAATAATCCCGTTGAAAGACATCCAAAATTGATATAACTTTAAACCAAAGTCAGACGCATTTTCGCGCAATTTCACACACACACAAAGAATTTAAGATTTGCTTCTACTTCAAGATATTTCGCGGGATAGGTCACTCTTCGTTCATAAAATTCGCGTTCGTAACGCAAGTATTTATATATATAAAGGTTCTAAACATTTGGCAGTGTTAGGCTCAACAAAACTAATGCACGACATTGTGTATCATAACATATTATAAGTTATGTCTAGAAAAAACCTCGAAATAACAATAAAAACATATATATCGAATGGCTTTCGTCCGCGGATAAACAACAGATACGTGATGTTTGGAGCCTGGAACGCACTGAAATGTATTTATTTTTTTCAACACTTTGACAATATATGCAGTATAATTTGTCTACTGTGCTACTAATTAGTGCTTTACTACTATAATGGGGGCTGGGATGCCAATCTCAGGAGGTAAGTTTATCCTACTTACCCCCAAGTGGTAGTACCTTATTTCGTTTTTCTTTATTTTTTCTTCTTTTAATTTGGAGAGCAGTCACCTTCCACATCTTCCTGCAGGCAGTGAAGTGTGATATAGATGTGAGATGTGGTGGGCTTCAGCGCCAACATCTCACTCTCCTAATTTCTATTTCTCTTGATGGTTTTATTTTATTTCTATGAATTTCTTCATGTGAGACTGGAGATTGGAGGATTAGACTGATAGACGGTGTATCCTCAGCGCAAGGTGGGTCCTACTTCTGTAGTCATCTCCAAAACTCAGGGAACATTTTATATCCCACATTATAGCCTGTACCCTGGGGATACTTTTAATTTATGCAGCGTCTTTAGTTTAACGTTTGTTTGCTCTTGTTTTTGTTCATTTAAATGTCATTTATCACAGGTTTGGAGTTGCTGTTTTTAACGCAGGCCTTCCTTTTGATTTTATTTTGCTTGACTGTTTAAGTATTACTTTTCTTTCTCTCTCTAAAAACACACACACACACACAAACAGTTATTAATACTAACTACAAAGTATGAGGTCATGCCGTCACAACCAAATAGATTTATCAAATATTTATGGCAAGAAATGATATACCTACCTCTAGTGACAAAAAAGTTTTTTCCTTATTGAATATTTATCCAATAAAATATTTTGAAATTTATTATAAAAGCTATTTATTTTCCAGTATTTATATCCATTATTTTCTACTTTATTTATGAATAATATAAGATTATCCATAAAAAACGTGCTGTTGTTACAAACAGTTAAAATATTTTTAATTGAGACATAAAAACTCCTTTCAGCATAATACGAGGAACCACACTATTAGGGGTGGGCAGACTAAGGATGGGAAAATTAAATGCTCTTCTCTTATGAAAAATATTTAGTTGTGCTTTACCATTTACTAATTTGATATCCAAATCTAAATAATTAATATATATTATTATTATTACTTTTTTCTGTTTTAAGTTCTTTTGTATATAATATACTTGGTGAAAAGTAGTGATTGTTAATTGCAATTAGATCGTCTATATAACGAAAAGTATAACTGTATATTTTAGGATTTGATACTTGTTTCATAAATGCATTTTTATAAAAAGAAAACAAATATAAATTGGTCATATTGGAAGAAAGTCAGCTCCCATTGGAATCCCCACAGTTTGTTTATATAACTGTTCATTAAAAGTAATATAACTATTATAAACACTGAAATGAAGGATGTTTCTATACTGATTTTTAGTAAATTTATATGACTGTTCACTTTGTTACGACAGCGGGGGTTACGTGACGCTAGTAATACGTCATATTCTCGAACGTTCACGTCCCTTCCTGAAGACTCGAGAGGCTACCAGATATGCGGTAGTCTTGTATATATAAACCGCTAAGAAGTGACGGCAACAATGTGTAATTGACAGTTGAGTAGAGCACGTGAGACGTTCGTTGTGAATTATAGCGTTTGTTATAGCGCGACTGTGGAAATTAAGTGTATTGCAAAGTTTTATTCAGAAAGAATAAACCAGTTTTATTTAAGAAAGGACTTATATCGCTAAAGTTTCATCGGAAAGAAATTTTACGGAAAATTAACTAACGACCAGAGACGTCACAATATATAACTGTTCATTAAAAGTAATATAACTATTATATACACAGAAATGAAGAATGTTTTTACATTGAATTTTAGTAAATGTATACTCAGGAATATTCATTTCTGTGTCTATAAAATCATCGAACAGATAGTTAAATCCTTTAAGTTTATTTTAGTGTATAAAGTAGTAAAATCATAGGTAGAAATAAAACTGGCTGTGTTTGAAACATTAAATTGTTTCAGCATTCCAAAACTGAAATGTTGTTCTTAATAATCCAAAAATATTCATTTGTGTTACTTAAACACAGTGTTTTTATTTTTTAAGCCACAGCATCCTGAATATTATTAAGAACAATTGAAACAGATTTATTAACAGTATTTAAATAATTTGTTATAAATCTGAATTTAATAGGATTTTTATACAATTTAGGATTTGCATATAAAATTAGCAGATGAGAAGAAGAAGAGCCTACATATATATTCCATTTTTTATGGCCTTCTTTATATTAGTAATAATACTGTTTATATTTAAAGTAATTTTGCTAAATGTACTTGTATTGTTAATTTCTTTAATTAGAATTTGAGCATACAGTTTTTTACTAATAAAACCTAAGTTACATCCTGCCTTATCAATAGGAATGATAATAAATTGTTCTTGCACCTTCTTTATTTATTTTTGAAAACATGAAAAGAAGTATCAATTTTATATTGAGCAAGGTTTAAATTTCTTAAACGATTCTTTTTATATAATTCATGAAATGTAGTTTCCATTCAAAAAAGAAACATGGAGGATAGTAGGTTTTCTTGCATATTTTGATAATATAATTATCAATATTTTTTCCAGATCTTTCAATATTTCACATTTTTTAGTTTTTTTTAATTCTAAATTTAATTCCTTTTTTAAACATTGTTTCCAACTCTTTATCTTTAATGGTCTCTAAGTTACCTTGTTATTACAATTACAAGGTAATTTCTCTATATCTGATTGAAATCTTAAATAAATTGCTTGTATTTGAAGAAAAGAGGACCTTTAGGTTTATTATATTTAAAACTAACTATAAGCTGCACTGATTTAATATGGAAAATATTGTCTTGAATACTTTCATTGATCAAGGAAGGTATAGCTAAGTCATCATATATATTATGTTTAAAATCAAATAACTATATATGATTTTTCTTTTTTCCTTAATTAAAGGATTATTTTTCAGG